ACATTAATTCTTTGAACATCTACACTTGGTTACCTAATGTACAACACAATCTTTCTTTAAGCCATTTCCCACTGCTTCTAATGAAAGCAGCAAGCATTCCCAGATGCATATACTGCTTCCCCTGCCTCCACCACCTATATTTTGAGCAGAACTTTAATAAGAGAGAGCATTATGTGGGTGTGACTACTTCACAAACATATAGATATGTACATAGATGACATGAAAGGCGTCGAGGAAATGTCTAAACGATGGTCTTGTGCAAGCATATAATATAAATATACGAGCTGAATCATTCAAAAGGCTCCCAACCTGTGTATTTGGTTTCAGTTTATGAGAGCAAATGAAAACTCAGGTGCATCTCAAAAAGGAATAAACTAAGTGACACAAGAAACATCGGGTAAAATCAACAAGAAAACATCAAGAAGTGGGGAAGCCTGGCCAGAAAGTGTTCTTGCCTCTATCGTAAGCTCGAGTGTAAAGATGAACTGAGGGACAGTCGAGTCACAAGTGTGTGAGTGCGTTTGATAGTTAGGTGTGATGTAAGTCCGGGTAGTTGGTGAGTAAGAATATATAGTAGAGAGTTCAAAAGCTCTCAAGTCTCTAATTGGATGTGTACTCTTCTATTAAGAATAAAAGTTGAACTCCAATAGAACACCGTGGAACAATCAATGGGATAGATTAAGGCCTAGTGAGATCAAACAAACATGTTTATTTGAGTTAATAATATAAAACCTGGCTAATTACAACTGCTATATATCATGGTGGGGCACTTCATAAGAAATTTTAGGGCTATGATAGTCTTCAAGTCTTAACCAATCATAAATGCAGGTTTTTCGGTTGTTTTGTGGAGTATTTAGCTTGAAAGGGAAATGGGAATTTTATAAAGTGCTGAGCAGCCTATGGGAGAGGTTTGGTCTCTAGCTAGGTTCAACGTTTCTTTGAGGGTGTTGGTTTCTAAGCACAGGTTTGCAATAAATATTAGGCTCTTGTTAGACACTGGTTGTTAAACCTATTGATTTTACTTGACTCCGTCTAGTTTGTACAATAGATGACATTCCTATTTGAAATGAATGGTCCTTTTTGGTTAGAGAAGTACCATATCGTCTTAACTTGATCATCAAAATATATTTTCTTTCCAATTGTATGATAATTTTTTTAAAACGATAAACGATGAAAAGAAAAAAAAAATGTTCATAGGGAAGAAAAAAAATCAAAATAACCAACCAAACAGAGCAGAACAAGCTCTCCAAACCTAACAAAAAAAGCAACCAAACCTATGCATAAACAGACACACTAGCATTTACAGAACTGTTGATAACATTAGGAAGGAAAATTTATCCCTGAAATGTTCAGTTTCAAACACAAAACGCCTCAATATACCAAAAGTGTTCCCAATATTATCAGTTTTACCTTCAATGGTTATTCATCACTTAAAAGCAAATCACGTTTCCATTCTCTTTATCAACATTCATAATATTGCAGCTAGTATTAATTCAAGGCTTAATTCTTTAGCCAAAAGAAAATAATATATCCTCCCCCAAAAGGTGCCTTACTGATAATAGTTTGGAATGATTGGAGATATCTTTTAAAGTCCAAGTTTCAAGCTCTGGATTGAAAACTTAATACTTTAAATTAGAAATATCTCCTAGAGTTGGCTTTAAGCCTCTCTGAGCATTAGCAGAGCATGAGCATAATGCAAGAAGTGGAGCTCCCAACACTCCGGTTATCCTAGATAATTAGATATATTACTAGATATTTCATTTCCATAGACCGAGGAAGAAGATTACCTTTACGCCTAAAACTTTGAAACTTTACTTTGAGATGAGTCATTCGCATCCTCGGTCCCATCTGTGTCAACCCAAGTACGGGTGGAACTTTCTACAGCTACTGCATCACTATCTCCCATAAATAATACTTGCTGAGAATCAGGCACTCTATCACTGGCACCTTTTTCAAATTTCTCTAGTTCTTCGTTAAGTGGAAATAGTGGATCAACGTGAGGTCTTTCTCCTTCGATGGTAGTTTTAAAATCATCTTCCAAATCATCGTCAAATTCCAAGCCCCTCAAAATCTCGGGAATTGGGAAGGCCTCATCCTCCATAAGTTTACTTCCCATTTCAATATCAATTTTCTCCTTTGAGGTACGAACACCTTCAAAATTAGGAGTGACAGCCACCATCATATGATCATCCTCAACGATGGATCGGAACTTATTTGATGAAGGTGGTATCTGGGAGAAAAATACTTCTCTAAGGTTTTGTAACAATCCTCTGTTATATGGATTCTCCTTCTTATCGTACCGGTACCGGAAATTCTCATAGGTAGTCTGCATTAGAAGAGATGTTAGAAATGAAAAATAACCGAAAATTCCCATCAAAAAATAATTTTAAAAACAATAAGAAATAAACTCGTTCATGAGTTAGAAACTTATCAAAATATGAACTCAATCAATATGCAGATACGATTCTGGAAAATTAGGTCATAATGTGCCTAGTTTGTACATACAAGAAAACTACCTGAGTATGAGAAAATTGGGTCATATTTATTCAGTATTGTAATTCAAATAGCTGAGTATAAGAAAAATACCTGGTTTGTACATACAAGATAAGAATGGAATATGGTAAGGCCACCAACGAACCAGAAGGCGATGAAGCAATACACTACTAGAATATCTGACAGGATATCTTTGGATACAGCCTTGAAAAAGGTTTCTTGATGATGAATAAGAATGGCCAACGAAAATGACAACACATATACACACAAGATAGTTGAGCTTGTTATGAACATGAAGAAGAACCGATAATTACGCTGCAATAATAACAATGGAGCCAATAGTTAGAACCCAACCAAAAAACAAATTTAAAAAATCAGCAAAACTACTTGGTACTTTGTGAGGCTTTTGCACAGATTAGAATGCATATTTCAATATCATCTTCAGTATAATTTGTAAGATCCTTGGCCTATTATTGATGTTAAGTGATGTATTACGAATTCTCAGTCATCTGACAAAGTCTCCATCCATTCTCCTATAAACTGTAAAAATTTTAAAAATAAAATAATGTTATGTCCTTTAAATCCAGCACCGAGTTTCTGGTGCTGGTGTTCTACTTCTTTGAGGATATGACTTGTTCGAGCCAACAATTTCATGACAATTTTGTTGACCATGCTCAAAATGTGCCAGTATTGCTATTGTTATGTCCTTTAAAACCAGCACCGAGTTACTGGTGCTGGTGTTCTACTTCTTCAAGGATTTAACTTGTTCGAGCCAACAATTTCAGGACAATTTTGTTGACCCATGCTCGAAATGTGCCAGTATGTGCCAGTATTGCCATTGAAAGAGATGACTTTTGCAACATAGCCGTATGGCAAATAGATTCTATAATAACAAAATAACTTGGAGCATGTTTGATATTCACTGTGTATTTAGTTTTCTTTTTCTAAATAATAACAATCTTATTTACCCACAATTTCATTATTTTGTAATCTACATTTTAAAAAAGTTTTCAAAGTTCTAGCCAAAATTTAAATATAAAGAATAGTTTCAAAATCCATTTTTGCATTAAAATTTTGATGAAGAGTTTAAAAGTGCATTTAAAAGGGTGAAACATAAAGCAAAAATATTGTGAGTAAATAGGCCTAAGATCTAAATATATAAAATTAAAAGTGCAGGACCTAACTAAACACACCAACCCCACCTGATAGAAACCAACTTCAGAACTTCACATTGTGAGATTAGAAATTTTTAAGAATAAAAATACAAAAATAAACTAGTAAGGTGCTTTATTTATTACTCAACAAACTAATTTTCATTGCTTTCAAAACGTCAGGAGCCAAAGCTTAATCACATTGTTATAAGCAGATGACTAACTTACTATTCCAATGCACTGCCCAACCCATGGACAGTGATGATCAAATCTCTGAACACAATTGTTGCATATGGAACAATGAGATGCACGAGGAGGTCGATAAAACAAACAAGTGTCGCAGTACTTGACTTTTACCGTATGACCATTTACAATCACGTCTTTAGTTCGAGGGATTTTCAGATGTGGGGTTCTTCCATTGATCCATTCCATGGATGGTGTAGCCATGTCTTCTGATTCATCTAACTCGAGAGGCCGTGAATTTCGAGGTAGTATTCCAGGATCTCTACTAGAAGTCAAGAAGAGAAACATCAAATCCTGCACATAGTTTACTTGGCATGTGATTTTCTGATTCAAACAAAGAATGTTGTAAGATTAATGAATAATGGAAACGCATTGATTTTGACCGGCCCCCTAAAGCTCTAAAATCTAATGACTTTCAGCGTTTCTGGGTAAAACAAAAAAAAAATCAATAACCACTTTTATTCTTACTCTAAAAAAATATTTTTTTTCCAAACAAGAAACAACTTTTCATTGATATATGAAAAGAAAAAAAAGTTCGAGCATAAAAACTCTAGAAGGAGAGAGAAAAAAGCAATACAATCAAAATAAGAACAATAAATGTCATCAGTAAGAACATGCCATAAAAAATACTTACTCTCTAAAAAATACTTATCTTTTAAGAATCTCTAAAAGCACTCTTGACTTAGGGGTGAACAAACCAAACCAAAAAACCGACCGAACCAACGTTGGTCGTTCAGTTTAGAGCAATGGTCGACATCAGGTCTTTTAAATTAAAAAACCGACACTTTGGTCAGTCGGAGAGACCGAAAAGCAGCATTCCGACTGAATGACAAATGTGGAATAACAAGAACCCCTGGTACGCCAGATTCATGTGAATAGTATCTATGTGATTCGCGTGAATCGAGGCTCTCTCTATTTTTCTTCTTACTCTCTCCCTCCCTCACATGTTGTTTTTATTTCCATTCATTTTTCATTCTCTCTCCTCATACACGTTTTCTCTTTCTCTCCACTTCTTTTCTTCCACTCTCCCTCTCTCTCATTTCTCTACTCCATCTCCCTTTTCTCTTTCGGTTCAACATCTACTTTTCTTCCACTTTCTCCTTCTCTCATTTCTTCTTTCATCTCTCTCCCTTTTTCCCCTTCCTCTCCATCTCTTCCCTTCTCTCTCAATTCTCTGCTTCATTTTTGCTCTTTCAGCCACACGGTCATCCACACGCTCTATCTTTCTCAACATCCACCAAAAACCGACTGACTATCCTCCAATTCAATCGGTCAGTTTGTATGAAGTTAGAAAATTCATAAGTCGGCGTCGGTTTTGAGCGTGACGCCAACTGACCAATGAGCACCTCAAATTGACTTTTTTAGCTAAATACCATGAAAATTGTGAAAAGTGATTTTAGTTAACCTTATCACCCTTCCAAAAGTCATCAAACTCACCCTTAGTCATACATTCAATTGCATTTTAAGTTTTCCTATCACTTGACCTACCATCATGTCACAACACCAAAAATGCGAATCCAGCACTAAAATTACTTCTTCAAATCTTTCAAATCTTGATGCAATAAATACAGCATAAAAGACACCATAATCTACCAATTATTTGAACTCCAAAAAAATTATCTAGAAAATTAGAGAATGTGTGTGAGAATGTCCGTTGTCAGCAACAGATGCACAAAAAGCTTATTATTTATGGCCACTAACTTTCACTCTGTTTCTTGCTTATACCACTATGAAATCTGCATAATCAAGTCAACAGTTATCAATATACACTACTCGGTGTTAGTGTTTCTTCTGCTGTCAATAGTCATAGAAGAAAAATAACCAAAGAATGAAAAACTCCAAAAACAGTGAATTATACTATACTGTCTCATTTCTATAGTTCTCTTTCTTTCTTCTTTCTTTCAAGCTTTTACACGCTAATTATATGAGCAATCTTATTCAGAAGATAGACACAAAACAGAAGCATTTAGCAAAAGAACAAGAAATGAAAGCAGCCATGACTGTGGATACTGGATAGAACTAAATGACACAGCACAATTTGTGTAGTGCGTAAGGCGTATGAAAGAAATATTGGGGGCAATTTGAAATCCAATCAAAACAAAACTCACCAGAAAAGTGAGTATGAGACCACCAAATAATACAGGATACCAATGAGCATTACTGGGTGGTTCCACATCATAGATCTTCAAACATACCCTCACACAGAAAGCAACTGAAGGACCAGTAATAAGACATATGGAGAGAAGCAGAGACGACACGTCAGGACCAAATATCAATCTCCCACCACAGAAAAATTTCTGAAAAGACAAAGAAGTAATGAAGTATTAATTTGAGTAAGTGCATAATGCATATGAGTACTCAATCTAATCAAATAATTTGAGAGTGATATATTCTGCTAGTCATATAAGTTGATGATATCGCAGTCACTAGAAATGATATGTATGTAAGGTATTTAACTCTTGAGACTTTCCTCTACAGATACAAAAGACTTGAAAAATGTTACGGTACTTCTTGGGTATTGAAGTGATAATAGGCGAGAAGAGTATTTTTTTCATGTCACAGGTAAATGTGTGCTTAATTGTATTTGATATATCAGGAGCCTGGAATCATATTCTTATGTGATTTCTGATATCCATGCACTCAACTGTGGTTTCTAAAGTTGTATGAAAATGATTTACACTATTTGACCAATGGCATATCCGCCAAATTATTTTAACAGAAAAGAAAAAAAAAACTTACAGACGCTTATCATTTTCATTGTTTGACTAAAGTACAACTTAGATTTTCCATGAATTAACTACAAAGCTGAAACACTCTCGAATACAACTAAGATTTTCTTTCCATCTAAACAGAGTCATCCAGTAGAACTCAGACAGCATCAATCAAATGTTTAGAAATAAACAAAGAATGGCACTGATACATCAAACAGTATCTTAAATTCCAAATGTTGAATCAAACAATGAATCCAAAACAAACCCATCTCCAAAAAATGGGGCTAAGAACTCACATTACTTCCCTTCCAAACTTGGTAAAGTCTTTTGGGTTTCTTCGGCGTGGCCATGCCGAGCCGGTGAAACGATCCACCCAACTCGGAATCCTGTACCCAAAAACCAAGGAGGAAGAAAACCAACCGCTCCTATTTGTCCACCAGAAACTCCATGGAAGAGGAACCCCCAAATTAAATCAGAACCCAATTGCAAAAGATGATCCAAGAAATCAGAAACTTCCCCTTCTGGGGTCGGATTGATTATTTTTCCCTTGTCAACGCAGGGAAACGAAACTACGTGCGCACACGAGAATCAATCTTAGAGAGAGAGAGAGAGAGAGGTTCGAAGGTTTTTCGATCAAAGACCAGCTCAGCCTCTCTGCTCGCCAAAAGAAAATTTCCAGGTTCTCAAAGACGGAGTAACCCAAGAAGACAAAGATTCCTCTCTCTTCTCTCTTCTCTCTGAAATGGCTTGCTGGCATTGATGTGTTCGGCGGATGTTTCAATTTGTAGCGGCTTTTGCGCACGACGCACCCAAAATTCTCTGCCGATTGGAAATCGAAAGAGCAAATAAAATAATGGGAAATTCGAATTTCGTAGCTTTGAACTTTGCTGCTTCATCATTCGTTTGGTTTCCAATCATGAAACGTGCTGTCACATTCCCACGCTCTATTCTTTCTTTATTATCATTTCTTTCAATTTCAACGGGACACATTTATATGCGCAAAAAGATCGCCTCTTTACCTATGAACTGATAGTGGCATTTTTTTTAAGTAAATATCGATTAATAACTCATCAAATTTAATTCAAATAAGTAATATAAATTATTTTATTTTATACCAGCATTCTAAATTTTAAATTGAAAATTCAGTTATATTAACAATTTAATACAATACCCTATTGAACAATTAACAGTAAATGTTATTTAACTAAAACTTCAATATATATATATATATATACATATTTAGTAAAATGATATATGTGTATAAAGTTTTGAAATTAATCAAAATTAACTCTAATAATTAATTTATTGTTATTAAGTTAAAATATTGTACTTGAAAAAAAGTTAAAATATTAAAATTATTTTAAGCAGTTAGGGTTTAATTTAAGTTTTACTAGTTAGTAAATATATTATAAATAATATATCTAAATTTATGTTTTTGATGTCGTTGAGTAATCAATCTTAATAATGTTTAATAAAATTAATCATTTTTATCTATTAATTGCATCAGTTTATTACATTTTTAACCAAAAAATTAAGTATATATTTTAATAAATTAATTTATTAAGAATAATTAACATAGTACTTTGTCACTCAAGTTTCAAAATGAACACTTTTTGTCCATGAGATTTGAGATAAGTATCTAATTGGTCTTTGAAGTTTCAGAATAAACACTTTTGGTTCTTGAGGTTTAAAGTAAGTGTCAACTTGGTCTCTGAAGTTTTAAAATGAACACTTTTGATCCATGAAGTTTGAGAAATAGTTCTAAATGTTCATTGATTTTTTTACTGTTAATTCGTTAATATTAAAATGAGATTGCAAATTATAATTAAATTATTTATTGTAGTTGCCGATGTGTCAAATTATATTAATTAAGTAATATATGTGTAGGTGATGGTACTTTTTTTCTCTCATCTGCTTGTCTCTTCCGCTCTCTTTCTCCTACCTTGTTGCCGTCGTTCGCTATTCAACTAGACCAAAATGAATATTTCAAAAATATATGGACAACTAAAATTAACCAAAATTAAAAGTATGAAGTTAAAATAGACATTTTAAATGTAGATTACATAACCAAAACTGAAAGTATAATAACCAAAACAATATTTTACCTCTATTTAAATATGACGTCACCAATTTTTCAATCAATTTTAACCCTTGAATAAGAATTAAATCGCGAAACTATTCTATAAAAGGGACTTAAATTGGAAAAGAAAATTTTCTCGTTCCTGTTGTTTTTCATATCCAAATCCTTTTTTTTTTTTGGCCCAACCATGCATTTCATATCATACCTCAAATTTTTTTTATATTAAAAGAATAGGTAATTATATAAATAGCATAAAATAAATAATATTTTAAATATAGCATAAAGTTTAAAATTTCATAAAAATGACATAATTCAATCAAAGTTTGTAAAGTGCAGTAAAAAGTCAAAATTATGCCATATTTGAAAAAGAATAAAAAGTTGTGACCATGTCTTATATTGTTAAAAAAATGCACCAACGCTCCAAAGAGTCCCCCAACCCTTTATTTTATTATTATTATTTTTTTTTTTTTTATAAAGTTGTGACCATCTTTTTAGGTTTTGATTTATAAAAATGTGCACATTTAAAATATATCTACTTTTAGCTACTTGTTAGATTCACCATTTAAGCTTAATTCAATCACAAATTTAACTTTGTGGTTCCGTAAATGATAGAAGTTGTTATTTTCAATAAGCTGCTTAGATTTTTTTTAAAAGAAAAAACAATATTTTGAGAAGATTACAAGTGAGATGACTTCGTAAATGGAATTCGATCCTACTTATCGAAGTTAAGCTTCAACTAGTGATCTCAAGCCTCTTGTTATAGGAAGGTTAAAAAATAAGAAATGATAATTAACAAAAATTGTATTATCTAAGTTAAATTGAATTATAAATTTTTGTCAAGTTGATTTTTCTTAGTTCAACGTGCAACGGTAGGATCTTTTTTTAGTACAACAACGTGGGGATATGGGATCGAACCTTCGACCTCAAGAGAAGAAATAAGGTGCTTTAACCCTTGAGTTAGGTTAATATTTGGCCGAGTGTGGAAACTTGAACCTCTAACAAAACGATATATGTCCTAAAAAGTACGAGTACAAATACACTTTGTAAGTTGTTTAAAAATTTTCAAAATACTTTGGTTATGTTGCTAAATGTCATCACATACTCTTCTTAAATTGGGGAAAAATACTTTTCCAATATTTATATAACGACTATGTGCTCCTCTTGATATACTTATTTTTGACTAAGCGACCAACGTTCCAAACATCACGATAAATTTGAAGCTTTTAATTAATCAAAACTACTTTTTACGATTCTAAAAGTCATATCAAATACATTCTTAATCAACGACAAGAGCTACAAAGATTTGCTGTTCAAAACTAGATTTTGCTTCTTTTTTATATCTTACCAGACAATCGTCTAACCCTACCACATTTAGTTGTCAAGAAAACTTGTAGGATATTAAATCGTAGATAGGTGGCCACCATAGTTTCAACACACTCCCTCTAAATTTTACTATTTACTTATATTGACCCTCATTGACCACTAAACCAACTCACGATGGTCAAGCCTAGATTCAAACAAATGTCTCATAATTTGGTGCAATTAGCAAAATCAATGGCTAAAAGAAAAAAAAATCTCTACTCTTGTACAGAGAAAGAGGCACTAGAGAGTGAATGCTTTAGATTATGAGCTCAAAAAGTGCATCTTGAATAGCATGAAATAAACCATTTCCAAAGAAATGAAATTAGAAGTATGCACAAATGAGCAGACAATTATGTACATCGTGACAATTGCTAAGGAATCCATCATCAGAACGACCAACTTCAGGATGTTTAATCATTCCGATTTCTTCTTCGCATTTACTTTCTCCTCTTTCGGTTGTCGAAATAGTAACTTAAACGTCCATACCGCTAGTATAGTTCCTTGTATCGGAGCGATCCAGTACACAAGAATGTGTTCTTTGGTTATATGATCCCCACGAGCATACGCCCATCCCATTACCTACGAAAAAAATTAATCCATTGAGTGTCCATTAGACGTCGAGAATCGACACAAATAAAGGGATGATATCATTACGATGAAATAGGGTCATTGAAACTTACAGAAGCAGGGTTCATACAGCCACCAGTTAAGTCAGAACCGAGAATATGAAGAGCTAGCTTAGAGACACTAGAGATCCAAGTCTTCATGAAGAAACTTCCAGGGATTTTCCTGGAAAGTCCGAGCGAGATTATAACGATGGCAAATGTCAAGAATCCTTCTGTAAGAGCACCGTGATGGATGCCAACGTTCAAGTGCGGACCTCGTCCTGCTTCGGGAAATGTATGGATAATCAGCCTAACACCACTTATAGCTCCAAATACCTGAAGAGAGAAGGCAGAAGAAGCATCAGCTGTTAATTCTATTGAGATATAGAATTGAATATTGTAATGTTTATGGGAATACAATGGGCATAGAGATGCATGCTTAGGCCATATTTTTCCTTTCAAGTTGTCTCACAGCCTCACATATAATTTTTAACTTTTGAATTTTGTGGTAAATTACATGTTTGATCCCAAATTTAAAGTTTGACAAATTAGTCGATTTCAGAAATAATTCTAAATGCTCTATTTTAAATTATTTTCCCACGTCAACAATAAAATTATAAAATTATAACAAAACGATATAGGGACATTGCTATAAATTGAATTAACGGATCATTTAGAACAATTTCTCAAATCTCATCTAATCTATTAGATTTTGATTTGAAATCTAATGATGAAATAGAATCCTAATTCTAACATCAAGATCAAAAAGTGTAGTTTAAAGATAGAAAACTAGATTATTATGAGAAAGGTAACATGGTATAAGAAGGGTAGAGATAAAGCATCAACACCAACAGAACCAAGAAGATCACAAAAAATGCTTCTAGCATAATTTCTTTACTAAAAAAGTACTCCAAAAGTTTGGTAATATCCCAAAGTTGATGCAACTCTATACATTTATCTTGAAATATTCAGTAGTTCCATTCCAACAATGCCTCCCCACACCACGACTTTTAACAATGCAGTCCCAGAAAGAATGACCATAGAAAAGTCGTGATAGGTTCCAAACATTGTAGAGTCTGGTGGTTGCCAAGTGAGATTAGTTCTAATGGTTTCTAATAAACCTTTTGTCACGTGGAAACAGAAGTAAGGCAATAATAGACTCTCCAAGAGCCTAAACCGTCCCGTTTTCTGTAAAATCTCAAGACTTTATTCAACTACCAACAAAACCTCCGAAGGAAGGCAAATGGGACTGACTAACCACACCAAAACAATCCTCCAAAAAAGTGAACCACCAAACCATCCCCAATTGTGGTTAAAGAACTTCAATAACTTATAACATGAAGTAACCATACAAGATAGCCTTCAACATGTTCTTAAAAATGCCTTTAATTCCCATAACTTCTTATCCACTCAAAGGATACTCATCATGCTTGATGATCCTAGGTCACAAAGCATCATCCTCCAATGGTACCCGCCATAACCACTTTGCTAGTATCACCTCATTACAAAGTTTCAAGTTCCCTATAGCGGGAGAGTGGAACAAGGAAGAGGGCAATTGTTCCTCTCCTAATTCGTCATGGTTAAAAATGTTAAGATTTAAAGTTTTCTCCCCAATTTCCTTCAAGATTATACATATAGGGGAGGTTTTTGGAGGTCTTTGGAGTCTCCAAAGCGAGAAACAAAGACTGCAGAACAAAGGACGACAATGTAGGAGGTTTTGCTATATCCCTTTCGAAACAAGGGCAAATTTCTTTGACATGTATGTTTTTTTGCCGTTTTGTGGAATATACAAATAGAGTTTTCAGAGGGTTGGAGAGGTCAAAGGAAGCTACTAAGAGCTTATAAAATTCCATTCTTTTTGCACCTTAATTACAAAGGAATTCTGTAATTATCAATAATGTCTTCTTCTCATAGATTGAAGCTCATAGGCTTGACTGATCTTCATTGGGCCGGTTTTTTTTCTTTTAATGTCCTTGTACCTTCTTCAAGAAGTCCCCGGGCCCTATCGTTGAGAATAGTGAATTACTATTCTCATTCAGAGCATTTAACCAATCAGGCAACCACATGCTCCGACCATCATTGAACGAACGTCGGGCCGCTTATTGAAGACCTACCCTTTCTGACTGGACTTACTCTCAGGGTCAATCTCCTCCAAAGCCCTGGTCGGGTACAGTTTCCTCTCTCTTTCGCCCTTGTAGTACATCGAACCCATATGAAGTTTTAACATGAGCAGATTGAATCCATGGGACAAATATGGGTTCTCGACGAAAGCTCGATTTCTTATATATATAATTTGCCTCTAGTTTCCTCACTCAACCCACCCAAATCAATCATATCACCCACCTAATATGCGAGGGAAAAAAGAGAGAGGGAGAGAGAACCTGGGCAGGGATTCTGGCACCAGCAGTGAAAAGAAAGGTACTGAAATCCCCAGCAAAAGCCGCAGACAAGACGGTAAGAGGATTGTAAGCCGCCCCTTTGGTGATCTTCCCCAAGAACGCAAAGAAAAACATGTTCAGAATCGAAAGAGCACCCTTCACAACCTCACCCACCGCCTCATTGCCGAACCCCAATATCCCAAAAACAAAGATCTTCACCAAAATCCCCGACCATACCCACATAAAAGACAGACCAAAATCCGACGCCAGCAACCGAGCCCCAGAAGACATCGTTACCAGAACAAAATCTCCTCTTCTGGGGATTTTTTTCACAGACCCTCCTCTCCAATCGATCTAAAGGCGCTGAAGAGAAGGATTTGGAGGGAATATTGGCCGCCGGTGGGTCGGAGGGGGCATGATTTTGACTGGTTCGTTCTTGGCTGTTTCAAGAGAAGGACATGGATTATTATTATTTTAGGGATGTCTGAAGAACGATGCTGGACCTTTTGACGATGTTGTCGTATTCCCATGATCGTGGTTGTCGCTGTCGGTCGAAATTGAACGGCGCTGAGAATTCGAGAGAGAATAACGGGGCCATATCACCAACCAATACCGTTCGTCCTCTAATTTCAAAATCTACATTTTGATTTTTGTATTTTGGTTTATCATTTTAGTTTACATGGATCAAAGTAAACCTTTTGACACTGGAAGAATCAAAATAAACAAAGACTAAAATTACCTACATCAAAATAGCATTTAAATTTAAAGTAATAATATCAAATATTTAAATTAGCTAAATTACACCGCATGTCTAATTATTTATGAGACATTACAATTTTGTTTTAAGATTTTTTTTTACTTAGTTTGTATTTGGCTCTTCAATTTCGAAATAGACCTAGGATTCAAAAGTGACACTTTTTTGCCTAAGATTTTGGATTTTGCTTCATCTTTGTGCTTTACTTAAATGGGATTTTTCTTTTCAAATTTAAAATTTCCATATTAAATATGCATATTCAAAATTTCAAAAACCAATGTCCTGTGAGTTTTATTATTCATGTTTCTCCATTGAATAATAATTTATAAATTCTTCTATTTATAACAAAACAAAAAAATTCAATATCTTTTTTCATTATTATTTTTTTTTCGACGTTTATTTCGATGTTATTATTTTCAATAGTACGATAAACTTATACTCCACTAAAAAGTGTATATACTTTTTTGTTAGTTTATACTAAACTATTAGATTAAATAGTATATTACAACCATCATTATATAGTTGATTTTTCCTTTTAATCTTCTAATATATAGTATGATAAACATCTACTAATTTGGTTGGTATGTCGCTCGTTGGTGGTGGATCGTCGCTTGTTCGTGGGTGTTGCATCGCAAATCTCGTTGTGGGGTGTTGCGTCGCAGATCTGGCTGTGGAGTTCGCTGCAAATTGGTTGGATTCATGTATGTTCCCGACTGTTCGCGTTCGTGGGTGTTGCACCAGTGTGGAGGTAGCCGCATATCTGGTCGAATTTGTGGTTATTCAGGTTTGTATGTATTGTGTCGTCGTGGGTGTTGTGACAATGCTTCATCCGATGAGGAAGGAAGGGGCGACTAATTTTGATGGGGAAGAAAGAGAGATTAGGGAAAGATGGAGGGATATGTGATTTTTTAGATGGAAAGAGATTTGAAAAGAAAAACCCAAAATTAAGGATTTTTTCTTTTTTTATATTTTCTTTAATTTTTTATTAAATATATATTTAAAAGGTTAAATTCGTAAAATTTTAGAGAGGCTCCATCGTAAATGTAAAATCTTAAACATTAATCTATTTTTGTAATTTGAATCTCCATGTATTAAACTTTTCATGGATGTGTTTCCCCCTCTACTTATGTGAGTTTGACCCGCCTTTGACTATGCTTGCTTCTGACTTCCTATGAACCGTTTGATGACCTTACTTTTTCGAAGGATCAGCGAGACATGGGAGCCTCAGTTCATGCACTGGTTTGCCCAAATCACCTCCGATATCTCACTTCCTTCTATTAAACAAGGTGAGCTGCCCTTACTTAAACAAAAAGATCAAATTTGGGGGCTCGTCTTTATATATTATATAAGCCGTTAAGTATGTAATTCCAAAAGGCGAACTCAGCCACTTTTTAGGAGTTGGTTTTGACTTGCCTATTTCTATGTTATTAATAAAGCTTTAACGAGCAAGAAAACAAATGCGCCGACGCCTTTACGCTGTCGACGATAATACTCTATTAAGGATGTCGTATTAGAGCCGACGGCTTTCACACAGTTCAATCCATCAATTTTTATATATAAGGGTAGACATTCGAACTTACGACCTTTTGGTCAGACATAGGTAGGTGTCTTAACTAGTTAAGTTATGCTCATTTTGACAATGTAACTTTCCACTTAAAGCACGTATACTTATTAACCTCATCTATATGAATTAAATGACACGTTGACAACTCATTTGAAGTTATTGACTCATATATGCCAACCTGAGCACTAATTAAGACATCCATATTTGACCAACAGGTTATGAATTCAAATATCCGCCCCACATATGTTGTAGTCTCAAAAAGAAAAAAAAAAGTTACTCATACAATCATATACAATCGCAAATCCATAAAAAAATTATCGAGAGGGCTTCATCCTAATTTTCAAGCAAGTAATTCATGAATTTATAAAAGTATGATTTTGAGACTGGCAAGGTTATTTTTTTGTAAATATGCTTTACAAATTTGTTCTCAAATATTACAATTGTAATCAATAATGTTATCTATCAAAACTACTATTAATTTTCTTCAAGGGAGATGATGACCCTATAGATTGAAACATGAAATTTTTACCAACTATTATGTTTAAAATAATCTCGAATAGTCAAATTAATAGTATATATGATATAAAATTAATAAAAATATACCTTAAACAATTAATCTCCAAATTGTCGGTTTCTTTAGAGTCTCAGACTTGAAATTAGAGATTATATAAAATAAGAACCGTCTAATATAAAAAATAATGATTTAAAAAAAAAAGATATATGTACGATAATTTATAGAAAAAATATCAACAATATGTAAGGACAATGTTTAAATGGAAAACAATGGGCTTACCATACACTTACCATTTTGCCCAAAAATTAATTTATAATCTCTACTACATTTGTAATACTAATTTATTATGTTTAGAAGTTTGGAGCGCCTCTATAAATATCTTTAGACGAAACTATTGACAACGCCCAATCAATTATTTTATTAAAATAAGGTTCGTTCAGTGACATTATTGTTTATTATTTATCGTAATCAATTTTTTCATAAGAAATATAAGCATCTTACAACTATAGACTCGTTTGGTAATATTATTTTATTGTTTCTATTTTTTCATTTTTAATAAAAAAATGAATCGTATTGTCCAAATATTCATGAATTCAAGTATGATAAAATAATATTTTTATTTATATTTTGAAACAAATTGAAAATAGGAACCATGATAAAGACACTTGTTTTTTTCTTTCCAAAATTTCTATACAATTTTGAGAAAGTTATAAAGAAATGAGAACTAGATAGTTGCAAAATATTTAGATTTCTAAGAAAATTGAAAACGAGAAACAATAAACGAAAATTTTTTAGAAACATTCACAAAATTGTATATAAATTTTGGATACAACAAAAAACAAGTTTTTTCTTTTCTTGTTTTTATTTCCAATTTATTCCAAAAGTTTTATATTCATAAATACTGGAAGAATGCAATTTTTTTTAATTAAAAATGAAGAGATAGAAACGAGAAAACAACAACGTTGATAAATGAGTCCAAACCCCTATTTGTCAAAATCCTAATCATTTGTCGTGTTTGGATAAATAAAAAAAAAAGAATTTGAAATCTTAAATGATTTTGAATTATATTTTTGGTTTAAATATTTTCCGTTCCAAATACGTTCCATTTGTGAGGATTTTAAATTTAAATGCAACAAATTTCGATTTTACCTATGTGAAAAAACTTAGCACTCTAACCTCCTTTATTTGTACATCATCAACCAAATTAGTTTCAAAATTTGATTTCTTGCTAGTTTTTTTTTTTTAAATTCTAATAACTATAAACTCGTCTTTTTTTTTTTCATCACGACTGTAACAAAGATTTTTTTATAACATGAACAAAGATTGATTTTCTATTTTGTTTTTGGTGTATTTAGAATTCCTATATTTCAATATTGTTTAGATCTTTATATGTTTATGTTTTTTTGTATATTTTTCTTCTTTTTTCATTTTGTTTTTATTTTTTTTACTGCATATCATAAAATAACTATGATAAAAACAAAAAAGTAACAAATTGTTACGAATAAATTGGAATAATTTGATTTTAAGAAATTTTATAATATTTGAATAAGAAAATTTACAAGCTTTTTTTGTTTAGTTTTTAAAATAAATGTGGCATTAACAGGTTTTAATTTTTGTAAAGTTAATTTGATTAAATTATTTATATTTTTGGTGGGTGAAATTACTAGTTTATATTAAAAAATTATATTATTAATAATATAATATTCTAAAAATATTAAAGGCATAATAGTAAAATGTTAAACATTATTTTTATTTATGTGAACATCTAAATAATAAATTTTAATTTTAATAATCTTTTTCTTCCAAACTAATTAAAAATTTGAAATCATTTCCATAGTTTTAAATTTTGTAATTTGAAATCATTTCTTACGCATCACAGGTGCATAATGGAATATAAAGCCTCCCCATATTCAAATAGTGTCATTTTAATTATTAAATTACCAAAAAAAAGAAAAAAGGCAATAGGGCCATAATTTATATGAATGATGAGTTTTGAGAAAATGGGTATGGTCTCGCCAGCACGTCCATGTCTACCAGCCAAAACAATACTTTAAAATGGCTTCCATGGCTTCGGGTTTTAACGGCCATCAGAGCTTCCATGTGATCCAACGATGGCGATGCCTTGTGGGTCACCCAATCCATGGATTTTGGACCCACAGACAACCATGCCGTTGAAAAAGTTATGGGATTTTTTTTTCTTCTTTTTGTTCTCACTCATAATTGGCAGCCCCGAACGGATAGTTTCATCGTTTTTCCGTATATATGAGAGGAAATCAATTCGAGAGAGAGAAAGACTGAGAATTTTGCGGTGAAATTAAACGCTGGAATTCCGGTACGTTTTGATTTCACCCCCCCGATGGCCTTAGGGGAATTCCGGCCTCTGCTCTGCTCTTTCAGACAATGATCGTAGGTATTTTTTGTTCTTGGAATTTTGATTGTGATCTTGTTAGTTATCCCATCTGGGGATTTTGATTTTTTTCGATCCGGACTGGTGGGGTTTGGAGGTTTCGTTGCCGCCTTTTACTTGCGATGTAGTGACTAGAATCTTTCAATCTGTAGGCTGGTAAATTGGCTTCGGAGTTGTGAATATTTGAGTTCGAGATTTTCTTTCCCTTCTCGGCCACGAAATTTGAGCTTTGATTTGTTTAGAAGGGAAAGAAAGCGCTATCTTGTGGGCTTGTCGGATTTTGTCCTTGTTGTGATTGTACATATTTGTAATTTGAAAATGAGCGTTATTTCGGGTGTGATTTCTCGGCAAGTCTTGCCTGCATGTGGCAGTCTTTGTTTTTTCTGTCCAGCAATGAGGGCAAGGTCTAGACAGCCCGTCAAGAGGTACAAGAAACTTATCGCAGATATATTTCCTCGTAATCAGGTTAGTATTTTTTGATGCTCATCGCATTTTACTACTGAACCCGGCATTATTTTGGCATGGGGAGAAGAAGAATAAGTTGTCTTTAGCTTTTTAGAACTGTTATTGTTTCATGTTATGGGGTCTAAGGGGGGTTTTGGTGATGACTAGTCATGGCGAGTTTTGAATTCTATTTTTGAAGTAGAAATAGGCCGCAGTGAGGTTCTGAGCTCACTGAACTGATATTTATGCAACATTCATCTTCTTACTAAGTAACATGCTTGTGTTTCTGTTCAATCCATTCTAAAGTTCTACATGCAGTTTTTATCCATCTGTTTTAACTGTAGCATACTGAACTGCTACATTTTATCTAATTTATATTTGACTTTGCAAATCTCTGGCTTCGACTGTTGTCTTTGCAATCTGCTGGAATTCTCTGACCCAAAAGTGTAAACACATTGAATATAATTCAAGACAATGACACTTTTGATAGAGTTTTTTTACCCCTTTATATTTCATTAAAATAAGAAATGTGAAGTGTGAACAATGAAAGAAATTCGAGAGACTTTCAGTTCCTACTCTCCTAAACCGGACTTCAACCGTACCCTTTCCAAACCGACTTCTCTCTATGCAACTTACTCCCTCTGTAGCCACTACGACTACAGTCATCGAATTAACTTCTCACTCAATTGTTGGCTGACTCTAACCTTCCAATCTTAAATGACATTTGGTTTATAAAATTCTCCCTTCTTCTCATGCCTAACAATCAGTGCTTTATTCTCCTTTCCATCCAAGATGGGGGCCTATCAACTTTCCATCAATCTCTGTAGAAAATGTTAGATATAAGTAGGTTCTGTGGAAGGATTGATCTAAAAAGATAACTATATAAGCTAAAGCTTTCCTTTTGCTTACAACCATGGATAGGAAATGTTTTCTTTTCCTGGCTCAGCTGTTTACGGTGAAGCGTGTATCAACGGAGCGATCCCTTGTCAGTTAAGAACTGCATTTGTTAAGAATTGTTAAGACTTTTGAAGTTATCTTTGGCCTGGAAGTCAACTTGGTTAAGTTTTCTATGGTTGGTATTAGTATGAGTTCGGAAGAAGAATATTGCCTTTCCTCTATGTGGGGTTGTCCAATGAAATCCTTTCCAGGTCTCCCACTTGGAACTAACCCAAGGACAATATCTTTTTGGGAATCAATAGTGCAAAAAAGCTTCTTTGACGTTGGGTGGATGGAAGCCTGTTCTGCTCCAAATATGGCAGGTTAATGCTTATATAGGCAGTGCTCTTTAAACCTCACTACATGTTCTGCTCCAACAATTTTTTCCTTTGTTTATTCAGTGTTTGCTGAGGGCACTCCCACATTGTAAACTTGAAGACCGTCTCCCTATCTTTGGTTGGGGGAGGGTTGGCGAGGACTATGGAGACGAACAAAGTCTTGTTAAGTAAATGGTTGCGGTGCTATTTTTCAAAATCTTCAAGCCTTTGGAGAAAGGCGGCCAATGAGAAATATTCCTTGGTTGGGTGTGTTTGCTTTTGACGGCTTTCCTTGAAGAGGGTGCATCTCTATGGTTTGGGATTGGAAGTCTCACGGGTGGTTCCTTATTTAGAAAATTGTTATAGACAAGGAGTTGGAAAAGTGGAATTCCCTTATGTTGCTATTGAACTCTAAAGGTCTTGTTGATATTCTTGATATTCACGGATGGTTCTCTTTATTCTTGTTGATTCTCTCTCTCTCCCTCTACATCCACCCTCGCCCCATAGAACGTATTTCTCCATCAATGTGTATAAAAGTCATTTTAATTCAATTCAGGAGTTAGGTCTGCATGTGCTCATCTTTAACCCTTATAACTTAAAAAATTACTTTGGATTTACATTTTTTTTAAACAATAAATAAACTTTTCATTGATAGATGAAAAGGAAGAAAAAGTTCAAGGATACAAACTCCAAAAAGCAATGAAAAAAGACTAAATAGCCAAATAAAGAACGAATCTCCAAATATTACAACAGAATAAAAAATTAAAGAACAAAATGCCTAATATCTTGACAAAACGATGAGCCGAAACAACCCAAACCATTTCCTTCAATTTGCCAAAGCTACTGCAGATCCACTTGTTAACCACTTTTGTGCTATTGTCTTTGTAATGTAATTGACTGATGATAATCTCTATATTGTTAGGAAGAAGGACCGAATGATCGGAAGATAGGGAAATTATGTGAATATGCTGCTAAAAATCCTCTTCGAATTCCAAAGGTAAGTCTATCGAGGCTTAACATTATGTTCTACTCTGCCATGTGATATCACAGTTTTATTTTCTAAATTTTTGGTTCACTTTTATTGTGGCTGGTTCACATGTTATAGATCGTCTGCAAGGTAGACGACATCAAGATGGGTAGCATTTTTCCGAAGCATATTTGTATAACTGCTCTCAAACATCTTAATTCATTTTCACGTCTCTATCTTTTTGTTCATTTGCCTTGTAACCTCTTAATTATTCCCAATCATTATAATAATAGCTAACTTTCTTTTGTTAGCATTTGTCCAATTGTTGCTGATGACCAGTGTTTTGAGAAGCTTCTTTTAGTCTGATTTCTTTACAGCATTTGTTTAGCTTTCATGATTTTGAAAAGAAGATATATGTTCAATGATACAAACTCTCAAAAGAGTGAGAATAATGTAAAAGGCATAAAACTAAAAATGAGGACAACAGGTTGGATAATATTATATATTTCTTTTGTGGTATATCTTGGTCTGATGTAAGAGGTAAGCTGCACATTTCCTATAGCAAACATATTTCATCAAGAGATTCATATTTTATTTACCGTATTCCTTTGCATGTATTCAATGTGTCTGAAGAGTATGTAACCTTCTTAGTTAAAGTAGTGAACAAATTTTTTACCTTTGGTTTCTCTTTAAAAATTATATCAAATGAAAGTTAAGTTATTGGTTGAATGAGATTTTGGTAGGATGCAACATATGCATTGGGTAAGTGATAAAGAGACTGCAGCCGTGAAGAAGGAATTATGATGCTGCAAAAGTCCTTTTAATCGAACCTTATTATTCTATCAATGGCTCAATGATGAGTGGAAAAAACGTGAGTTTCAACCTTTTATTTTACTTTATTTTCTATAATGAAAATCAAACCTTTTTATTAAAATAGTGTAAAGTTATGAAGTATAAACCTTTACAGTAGGATAATGTTTACTAATACAAGAAATAAACCCAAAATCCTATGAGGTTACCAACAACCTGTTAGGAAAACAATTAAGATAGAAGATAGAGATACTATTAGGGTACTAACAGTGTATTAGTAATTAGTTAAGGAATTTATTAGTAGGATGTTGTTATAAATAGAGTGGTTAGGAAAGGATGGAGGTAGGCAATCATACAGAGGCTAAGCTTGAGTAAAGAGACTCAAGAGGGTAGTTGGTTCCAAGTAAAAGGATAAAAGCAGTTCAAGAAAGTCTCAAGTATTTGAGGTTGGAACCTCCCACTCTCAAGTCTATTTACTCAAGCCTAAAGTCACTAAACAATTGCCTATCTCCATCCTTTCCCATCCACTAGCCGTCACTCTATGACTTGTAGACCAGGCTGCTTAGACCTAGCCGACACCCTCTCACCCGACCAAACCACCATCTCGCACCTGACTGTGATAGCGCGTCAAGGCACTTCTTCGACGGTCCCCGTCCGCATGTGACATCTAGGCGGGCAGGAAAAGTGTTTCTTACGATTACGCCCACCCTTAGCTAATTACTAATATACTCTTAATACCCTAATAATATCCTTAACTTCTATCATAATAACATTCCTATCACAACCTCTCTCAATACAAGGAAATTATGAAAAAGCCCTTCAATTAATGGAAATATTATGCAAAGAATAACCATAAAATAAAGAAGACAAGGAATCCCAAGAAGATACTTTAAGTTTTGGCAAGTCCGTTCTCTCGACCCAATTTGAAAATTTGTCGTTGAATGTCTTTTGGTTTCTTTTGATCCACAACACTGAGATTATTGATTTAAATCTTAGGTTGTTTTTTGGTTGATTCATCCTTTCTGAACGAGTCTCTTGTTTCTTATAAAAAAATGAAGAAATGATTTCTTTAACTGCATTCATCCGTAGCAATGTATCTTTGCTCTGCATCTTTAACCGTAAAGAACTTGTGAGGCATTATATTTTGTACATTTTTTTGTTACTGAATACATACTAAACCGTTGTAATAGGAATTGCCATCACTTACAACTATGCAAGCACTGGAAAATTAGATGGTTTTGGTCTTCACTTGCCTTCATTCATAGCACAAAATTGATGGATCCAAAGACATTGAAGACAGCTTCCTTTGAAGTCTATCTGCTGTATTAACATTTTCATTTTGTAGAATCCCATAATAACACGCCATTTACCTTCTGATGTGAAAATCCTATTGAATTGGAATTAGAAACCCTTTAGTATATGAGTCCTTAATTCAAACACTAAAATCCTTGGAACTCAAAGATACAGTTATACAACCTATATCTTATATCTTAAGAATGAACAAACCATCACTCAACTTTAATTCATTTATATGGATTCTAACACTCCCCCTCACTTGTGGGCTTGGAAAATTACATCAAGACCCAACAAGTGGAAATCCTAATAAATGGGGAGGAAATAACAACGCAGGGGTTCGAACACAGGACCTCCCGCTCTGATACCATCTTAAGAATGAACAAACCACCACTCAACCCAAAAACTTAAGTTGATGGGTTGGGTAAATTTAATTCATTTATATGGATTCTAACACTATAGAACAGATCCTGTTCAAGTAAGTCGTACAATAACTAAAATCCTCAATTTGTTCGATTTTAAATCTAAAGTTTTTTTTCCGATAAGAAACATCACTTTGATTGAGAGAAATGAAAAATGATTTTAAATCTAAAGTTTAGGTCACACAGATTGCCTAAGATGAAAGCCCTCAGGGAAAAAAAACAAATTCTTTGGCCAAAAGTCAAACACTCCACAAAATAGGATGATCAATTTTACTTGAATGTTCTTGGCATGCTACTCATGTCATGATATTACAAAAGTTCAAGAAAGCTTCTTGCTAAACTTGAAAGGAAAAGTTAGATGGCTAAAATTCATTCATCAAAATTGATCTGTCCAAAAAACTAATGACAAGACTTTAGATAGCTTCCCAACTGCCACATCATCAACCATAGCAAAAAGACAAAATGTGCCCTGCTTAATAAGTTCAAGAAAAAAGTAAAATTGAACGCAATAAAATTACGTTAGAAAATCATCATCAACAAGGGCCAATGTAAATAGCAAAGGGCTTAGACGGAATGTGTTCAAACCATGGTGGCCGCCTACCTAGGATTTAATATTCTGCGAGTTACCTTGTCAACCAAATGTAGTAGGGTCAGGCAGTTGGCCCGTGATTAGTCGAGGTACGCAAGCTGGCCCGGACACACGGATATCATAAAAAAAAATACATAAGAAACTCTTAAATAAAAGTATATATTAACTTGAAAGTCCTAGTCAGTTCATATCACCTTCTTTGGGTTATTGGTCTTCCAACAACCTTTGAACAAACCTTTGCTTCGCACATCATGGAAGAATTATAGAGTCTGCATCTTCCAGCTTCCACCCCCGTTTATCATCTCTTTCTCGAATCTCGAGTATGAATACCATTCAGCAAGGAAACCATGAGTTTCAACTTGGAGATAAGTTTTGGTAGCTTTTGAGGTCTGTGATAATTGAGATACTGAGTCATGAATAAGACATTTATCCATCATATTATTAAATTAGATAAGGATTATAGTGATTTTTTGTCAACTAAATCTACAGGATCTAGTTTCTACATCAGGTAAACCAATCATGTTAGGGTAACATCTGGTTTCTGATCTGCATATAGTAATGTATCCCCTCCGGAGGTCAAATTGCATCTTTTCTTTTGTATGCTTGTTTCTGGTTGGAAGATTGCTTTAAATCAAGTTTTGTATTTTCTTCTCCTTTGATAGGATTATGCTAAATTTTGGTCGAATTAAATTTATAGGATTTAGTGTTGTAGTTTCTGCTCCAGGTAAACCGAGTCAGAATAGTCTCTGGTTACTGTGCTGTATATATTCATGTATCCTTTCCAGAGTTTAAATTTTATCCTTGTTCCTGGTCTTTGAAAGATTTCTTTAAATCAAGTTTCATATTTTATTCTCTTTGGATGAAGTTTTGTTTTCCCCAATTATCATCAATGAGTAATTAGCATGCTAAATGTTTGATTTTAGTCTCTATACTAATTTTTTATTTCCAAATTTCATGATCAGATCACATGTTCTCTTGAGCAAAGATGTTACAGAGAATTGAGGAATGAGAACTTTCAAGCCGTAATAATTGTTATGTCCATCTATAGAAAACTTTTGGTTTCATGTAAGGAGCAAATGTGAGTCAAACCATTTTTTAAATAATTATTTTATTTGCTCTTTTTCGTATATCTGCATAGTGCATTTATTATCGAGTTATATCAGTTCTAAGAGAGAACACATTAGTTTGCTCTACACAGAAATCTTCGTGTTCATGTCAATATTTTTTTTCTTGACACCTAGTTTGGACAACCTAAGGGCTGGGGTAGAGAACCCCCTCCCGGAGAAGAGCGGTCACAGAAAAGCCTTCCAATTGTTAATAATCATGATAGACAATAATTTCAAAAGAATTCATTGTGACTAGAGCACCACCCAGAAGCTATACACTGTACACTGGAAGCAAAAGAATCATTTGTGATCAAATTATCTTCTTTTTTTTGGATAAGAAACTTTGTATTAGCAAAAGCATAGAAACACAAGAAACAACCTAAGGGCAGGAGGCATGGGGAAGAGGGATCCCCCTCCCGAGAACTACAAAAGAAGAGCTCTCCAGTCTTGCATAATCGAAGAGAGGCTATAGTTACAAAAGTATTTTCTATGCCTATGACACCACCATGAAGTGTGTAAATGAACTGTATTACAAAAAACTTCAAAAGAAGAAATCTTATCTTCGAAGATTCT